CAAGACACAGAAATGACCATGAGGGTCATTACAAAAAAGAATAACACATTTCCATATTAAGTAACAATTTCACTATAAAATGTCTATTTTACCCTTAATAAAATGATTTACAGCTACACAAATTTATATCATTCATTTTGGACCACAAGTTTTAAAAGTCTTTCTTTCTTTCTTAAACTTTGTGCCGAGTCAAACTACCTCACATAAAATGAGACGGAGGGAGTATTATTTAATTAGTGGGTAATTTCAGATCATTATTTTAGTTAATAATTAATGGGACAAGTCCATGAGTTATTGAATATTCAATACCATTTGGCCCATATATACGAGTAAATTAGAGTTAAATGAGGCTGGCATTTTTGAGAGTCAAAGCACGAACGAAAAGAGGAAAACTGATGCGGCGGGCACACATTTACCAAAAGGCATCATGGATAATTGAGGTAAGGTTTTTGTTTGATGAAAAGAAAATTGTGAATTTGTAATCATTACCTAGTAGCACTTGCGGTGATTATGATTGGTTGGTAGGAATGGCTATTACTAGTACATGTATGTTGTTCACGTAGGTTGAAGTTCCTGTAAGGCTCTTATGAGACAAGAATTAATTTATGGGTTTATCTTTGCATTATCATGAGATAGTGAATTGGGAGATAGGTAATAAGTGTGAGTGGATTAGTTCAAAAGGGTTTCAGTTTTCCAATTGGTAGTTACGGTGAATTAACAGATTATTTTGGTAGTTTATTATCCAAATTTCCGTTAAGAATTTTCTTAAGCTTATTACATTATGATTCAAGTTTTGATATCTTGGAACTTAACCCTAGCCTTGAAATTTGAAAAAACACACATGAGAATTGACATGTTAATGGACATCAAAATTTAGGAACTTGATTTTAGATAGCGAATTTTTAGGTCAAGGCTAAACCTATAGTAATATATGAGTTGTTAGTTTCGAAATCTTATTTTGAATATGTACTTGAATAGATTGCATTGATTTGGAAGCTCAACGAAAAGGGAAGGCTCAAGTCTCGGAGTGATTGTTCGGTTATTTGAGGCAAGTGGATTTCTAAACCTTTGTTAAGTGTATGAAATTTGTGTATTTTCTTGTAATATGTGTTTGGGCGTAATGAGACTTGGTGGTGGGTTGACTTGTCCACATTGACTAATTCTAATGATGAAAAAGGGGTAATAAAAGGCGATGTGATTAATTGTTTGTGTGTGATGTGTTAAGAATGGTTTGAAAGGCTTGTTGAATCATTGTTGATGTTGTATCATGATTGTGTTGTTGTGAATTGTGCAATGTTATGAAAATGGTAATCTCCTCATTATTTGTGTAAACATGTCATTTGCATTGTTCTGAGACATGGTTGTAACAAGTGTTATGTGAATTGAGAAAGAATAAGAAATTAAAGAGGATGTACCATTTCGAGGGACGTATCGCGCGCCGCGATGGTTACTATTATCGAGGGTCGTATCTCGTGCCGCGATGGATACATGGACAGATATGTCCCCCATGGGTCCCGGACTGAGAGACAGCGGGTGTGTATCATTAGGCCAGACATGCATCACTATACTTGACATTGCATTTCATTGCATTGCACTTCTTTATTATTGGTGAACTTGATCTTGTGTGTTCTTGATCTTGTGAGTGCCTTTCCGTGGAACTTGTGACTGATGAATATTGAGCTTGTTGTTGAAAATATGCAATTGTTAGAGTGTTGTTGTTGAGGATATGAACCTGTTGTTGTTGTTGAGGATATGAAATTGTTAGAGTGCTGTGTTGAGCTATGTGCTTTGTAAACTGTGAACTGTTATGTTGGGCTGGTTTTAAGCAAGTTGTAGTTGTGGAGGTTGTAATTGATGAATATTGAGTTTGTTGTTGAGAATATATGATTGTTAGAATGTTGTTGTTGAAATATGTGCTTATAAATTGTGAACTGTTAGGTTGGGTTGGTTTTATACAGATGGTAGTTGTGAAGGTTCGGTTGGGGTGTAAGAAGTACTCGTGTTCTATCCCCTTAGCTCGTGTTTAGAGGTTTACTTGCTGAATACTGTGTGGTTTGGTACTCACCCCTTGCTTCTACAAATTTTTGTAGGTTACGAGCCTGGATTTTTGTGGTACTTGTCATTCTCTTCTTTTCCAAGGCTTCTTGTGGAGGTTTGTGAGGTAGATGTTTTTCATTTCAGCGGACCTTCTTACTCTTATTTATGATCTTGTTCTATTCTAGAAACAAGGGCATTTGAGACTTGTGTTTTTCTTTTGAATCAATTGTAATACGTTAGAGGCTTGTACACGTGACAACCAGATTTTGGGGGTATTTTTGAGTTGATTATAAAATTTCCGCATTTTATTGTAAAGGTTGAGTTTTAGGTTGATTTGTCTTGGCGGGATAAAACGAGTGCCATCACGTCCATTTTTGGGTCTTGACAGCAAACTAAAGAGATTTCTACGCAATGTACCTGATAGGGGTTGTACAGAATGCTGTGATTGTAAATACAGAGATCTGGCTGCATTAGAAGGAAATAAAATACATAACTAGAAAGAGTTGCACTATGATTTCTTTGTTACATGTGAAGAAAAAGGGAAATGGAAGGATCAGTTAGAGTTAATTAGTGCATTATTAATCTACAGGTTGTTGATTGATAAAGATCAGAATGGACAGCGTGCCGCCCTCTCTTAGTTTTGTAAACTACGTTGCTTCTCATCCGACAGGTAACATTCTTTCATGCATTCTTCTTAGATTATATTAGATGGTGTCAAATTTACAGGGATCATCATCGCGGAAAGATATTCCAGAAGCCAATCCTGGATCATGACCAAGGTATCGATCTAAGGTTGAGGCTAGTGTTGCACAAGATGTGATGAATGATATGCACCGGCAATTCTAATATTTTATCCTCTCTACAAACTCTTGTTGCCATCTTAAGCAAATTGTGCTCTCTTTAATTTGCATTTATCGTAGCAGGCAAGCTACCTTAACTCTCATTGTTACTAATCCCACGTTCCACTCCATCTTCTTTTCTTTCACAATATTATGCAACATTTGCATTCAGTGTCACTGTTGTCATGAAAGGGAATCATGAAGAGGACATGGTGTAAAACGTCACCATTATATCAAGATCAATGATTTAAAGTCGGTGAATTTAGAATGATAACATTATTTCAAACAATGGGTAAAGTTTATTAATCGCATGTATAATTAACTCAAGATGGATGTATGTATATTTCACGCAATTCATGGATTCACCATGGTTGACATCTAAAAACGATTGCACGTTTTGAATGTACAAAAATACCCAGGCATCCAACAACTTGGTTGTATGATCCGAACATGGTCTTGCACCACGAGGTCTCTAACTTAAGTTGATAGAAAATCGAAGAATAATTAGGGCAATCATCAAGAAGAAACGAAAAGCAGAGTAGTTAAGATTTTAATTCAGTGAATACGAAATTCTCAATCACAAATGGTGCAGGCAAAACATACATATAATTGAATTTCTAATACTGTCCGACTATACATATATATATGAGAGAGTGTGCCTGCCCCGGTGCACATACACTGCATCCTCCTAGGTGAAAAAAACTTAGTGTTATATCGAATAATATTTTCACAAAATTTACACGAATTCATTTGGAGTGAAAACACAAAGAAATTTAACTTACTCTGCTGATCTCTACAAGACATTTGCTTATCCAGTTACAATTTCTTTGAAACAGGAAGCTCATGCTTATAAATTTTCAATATTCAATGGTTTGCTTAGCCCTCACTCAATTTTCCATGCGTACAAGAATAGACAAAATGGTGATGCTTTAGAGTAGCTTAACGTTGAATAATACTTGCTTTGGTCACTGCAATCGCTACCACCACCCACGCTACTCCCTTCCTTGTCACTATCATCCTCAGACGCCCCCGGTTTGAAAATAAACAGGCCATGACCTGACCCTGGTGAACAGAACAACCAAGCGTGCACGTCCCAAAAGACTTGCACAGGTTGTTTGTTCACTAAGACGGTTTCATTTCCCCTGAATTTCCATTGCAAGTTTTTTATGTGAATCAAAACAATCCCATCTATGCTTATCCACATTTCGGGATCTCTAGGTCCTGTCGTTGAGCTCTCAACCACGATATCACTTTCTTGTTTCCTTTGATCAAATTTAGCTCTTGTTGAGAAACTCTTCTTACCAAAAACATGTTCTTTTTTGTAAAACAACAGGGCATCCACCAAGGCTGGCCTTGATTTAGTTTTCTTATAAGCTTTTTTCTTGTAATCACCTAACAACAACACAACCTCTTCCTCGGAAACTAAAGCAACATAAAAATCCGAACATGGTTCAGGACTTCCTGAAAATTTTGCTGATCTTAGATCCCAATAAGCCTCCAATTGATTACCATCAACCTCAAATGTCTTGTATCCTTTTTTAGCCCAAAAATGCCAAGGTTTAAGATCAATCTTACATGTTTGATGATAATCACTTTCCACGCTATCAACCGTTAAGGTCACAGAATGATTCATTAGATTCTTGCTCCATATAACAGTCACATTACGCCAATAGCCTCCGATATGTGACTGATAAACACACGTAACGCTACTTTGAGCATTCTTGGGGTTTACAGGATCATCCGTTAGTTTTTGGACGATAGGCGGTTGAGAAGATGATGATTGTGATCTATTTGTAACATGATAAGACATGTTTTAGAATATCCTTCTCAATTCATCAATTGAATAAACACAAACTTTAAAGGTGATGGAACTCATGGGATGAAATTTAATTTTCATACATCCAACGTCGAATAATTGCACCCTTTTATCAGATCTCCACAGGAATTGGGAACAACATATGCATGTTACATTAAGAGAGAAATTTTCTTTCAATTACATCAAGATAGAAAAATGTAACTATTATGCCCTTTTCTGACGAATGTATAGTTTTACGATTTTATCATACGCCATTTGCAGGCATGTCAATGCCAAGCTTGAAATGTGGTTGCCAATAACAATATTAAATTTGAGAATTGCAAACCTGGGAGTCTGAAAGAAAATTAATTGGCTTAGGACTGGGAATTTTGGAGAAAAAATGCAAGGAAAAAAAGGTAGTTAGTATTATTTGGTGCAAGAAAGAAGGAAGTTTAGACATCAATTTTTGTATTTTTTATTTTTGTTTAGTATTTGTCTATTTTATTTTATTTTTGTGAGGAGAAAATATCTCTTGCTAGAGGCTATGGGTAAAAGGCTTCCGGGAAGGAAGGCCACAAGGTGAGAAAAATATTTTTACAAGCCTACGAAACAACGAGTGTGAGTAAGTATTATCATTATTAGTACTTAACTTATATTTCTATTTAATTTTTTTTTTGTTAGATATAGTAGTAGTTCTTATTACCTAAATTTTACTTGTACTTACTTTTGTCGAGCTAACAACAACAACAACACCGGTGAAATCCCACAAAGTGGGGTCTGGGGAGGGTAGAGTCTACATATATTGTCCTTATTACTACCTCTTAGAGGTAGAGAGACTATTTTCGAAAGACCCTCAGCTCAAGAAAATAAAAGCAGTAATAAAATGAAAAAACAGGTGGAGATGCATGACAACGAATAGCAAAGTAGTAACAACTATATGCAAGGAACCATAACAACACCAAATACAGTAAACCTCAGATGATAACGAACACCAAAAGCTAAAGACTACTTGAATAGGCTAATACTAAAACTGACACAGACACAGAGATCTATACTACTCCCAAACCAAATGCATACATAAGCTAGTATAGGATAACTCTTAACTACCTACTAACCTTCTACTATAGCTGTCAAAATGGGCTTGGCCCGCTAGGCCGGCCCAACCCAACCCTTGAATTAAGTGGGGTTGGGCTTATTTGTTTCAGTCCATTTAGGAACGAGACTTTTTAGCCCTGCCTCATTTGGCCCGCTCGCCTCGTAGGCCCAACTCGCAAGCCTCAGAGGCCTGCCCGTGGGCTGTGAATTTTTAAAATATTTATTATATATTTTTTAAATAGTGTTTATTTGTTAATATTTTGTCAATAAATATTTTTAAAATATCAATATAAAATCAAGTTTAACTTCTTTGCATCTCTTTTACATTTTAGGGTCATTAGCCCACTAAATTTTCTTATTATCCTAAGTCCATTACTATATTATAACTGTGAATCTTTGACGTCTTTAACTTTTGTTTTTACGCCTAATTTTCCACTTCTCCTTTATTGTCTTGTTTATGAAAATAGTGATCATGTAATGTTTTTTGCTTGGATGAATCTTATTAATGTTGTATCTTGGCTATTATGTTTTTGTTTTGTAAGTATTCACTAAAGTATTCATGGATGAATTTTTGTATGTATTGATGTCGTGTTCATCAGACATCAATGTTCGATAATCTTTCTAACATATCAATGTTGTCCATTATTTGGTTGAAGGGCAAACCCGTCCCAACCCGTGGCCCACTTAAGGTTGGGTTGGGCTACTATTTTACAGGCCCTTTAATTAAAAGGGCCAACCCGTCCTAACCCATTTAACACTCTAGCCCGTTAGGGTTAAATTGGATTGGGTTGCGCTGGGCCAGCTCATTTTGACAACTCTACCTTCTACCCTTATCCGGATTCCCATACGCTCATATCTAAGAGTATGTCATTGGTAAGTTAAAGATGTGTCATGTCGTGTCTAATCACCTCCCCCAATACTTTTTTTGCCTACCTCTATCTCTCCTCGATCCCACTATATTCAACCTATCGCACCTCCTCACTAGGGCATCCACACATCTCATCTTTACATGTCCAAACCATCTCAATCTCTCTTCCCTCAAATTGTCCACCACGAAGACACTCTCACTTTGTCTCAAATATCCTCATTTCTAATCTTATCACTCCTAGTATGCCCACACATCTATCTCAACATCTTCATTTATGCCACTTGCATCTTTTGAACCTAAGAGTTTTTGACTGACCAACTGTTATATTCTAGGTGTTTTGATGATCCTCACAAATGCAGGGACCCGGTCCCAGAAAGAGTGCTCTCGTCCAGATTCAAATAGGGTACAATTGTAAAGTTGTCATGTCAGGTGGTAGGTGAAAAGTGCAGTGTACTGCACCAATAGGAATAGAGGACGAGACTGTTTGTTTCAGTGGCTCACAATTGCAGGGACCTGGTCCTGTCAGAGTTCTCTCGTCCAGATTTATAATGGTGTACAACTGTAAAGTTGTCCTGTCAGTGGGTTGGTGAAGTCGTCAGAGTACTTCACCAATAGAAACGGACGAGGTTGTTTGTCCAATGGACAATAATTCTTTTTGATTGATATAATCAAAATGACAAACAACAAGAAGATTCATTCATTCAAAAGAGAAAGAGAGTTAGCAAGTCTTCTCAAGAACTAACAAAGAACATTGCAAGGGACCTAGTCCCTGCAAGGCTGCTTATGTGAAAAGGACGACAAGACAGCTGTCAGAAAAGTTGTCACCTCTGATATGGTTGGTACACGTCCTTTTAGAGAAGCAGACTCTCAGCCAATGGGGTTGTCTCAAGGAATTTGTGTTCATTTGATATAGTCTCTTCTCCAAAACACAAACTCAAGATTTGGCAAACAAAAAACTCATAAGATTACAAAGAGCAGGTCATCTTCAAGGAAGAACTCAAGCAAAAGAACACATACAGCAAGGGACCTGATCAACTAAAGAAGTGCTTTCCGTACATGTTGTTGTTCTTGAATGTTTGTATTGAGCTAAACTTGTAGGATTTGTTTCACTCTTGTTAGAAGCGTTTCAAAACTTTGTGTGAGTCATTGTAAGAACATTGTTAGAGTTAACTTTGTGTCTATATTTTAATCAGTGATGGTTAGTTAGTGAACAATGGATGCATTGCTTAGGCTCAGTAAGTAATAGGTGTATTACTTAGTGTGAGATTAAGAGTTTAATCTCAGTGTTGTGGTTGTAATCTGTGTTTCACTTTTGCTTGAGAAGATTAGTGAAAACAGTTGAAAATCCAGTGTGACAGGTCATGGTTTTACTCCCTTGAGCAAGGAGGTTTCCACGTAAAACCTTTGTGCCTGTTTTACGTTGTGCTATTTATTTTCTGCACTTTTATTCTGTCGGGGGACCTGGTCCTATGATCACTGGTGGACGCATACATTCCAACACCAACAATCCGCCCCATACAACAAAGTTAGTCTAACCATCACTCTATAAAACTTACCTTTGAATTTGCATGGTACTTTCTTGCCACGCAAGACACCAGATACAAGCCCACACTTCATTGAAGGAGCTTTATTTTTTTTCCTTTATTTTTTCTATAAAAGGTTAGCGTATATATAATGCCATTGTAGTTAACAGTACCATTGTAGTTATTTGCCTTATTTCTAGATTATAGAGCACCATCAAATAATCTTTATATGTTATAGCATGTAACATGTCTTATTTTCTAAATTATGAATCCCATAATTTTAGAAGGCTTACTTATATTATGTAGATATTCTCGTGGGTGTCCTATTAGTATGCAAAATTCTTTATATTGATGATGGTGTAAAAAATCTAAATTTTTACGAATTTGAATTTCTTGTGGATCGTTATTAGAAAATATCTCTAGCAATCGTACAGTCGGAATTTTTAATGTTGAAGTTAAAAGAACTTGAGCTAGAATCGACCACCCGAACATGAGAAGTTTTACACCCCTCAACTGTTGTGTTAACTCTTTACCTTGTGTCAAGAGGTGTCAACATTAATATATGTAGGTATAAAATCAAAATTTAATCTATCTAAATAACGTAATTTTCCGACGAAGGGGTGTCACTTTAATTTACGCCTCTCGGACAAGGGTAGCTACGTGCCTGATCTCTAGTGTGACATGCAAAAACAACAACAGTGTAATACCGCAAGTGAAGTTTAAGGCTTAACGTTTTGTTTTTTCATCTTGCAAAAGAAATTGAGAGGTAAGACAATGTAGACTCAAGAAGTGGCTCAGTGTGTGGTTGGGATAATATTTACCCGCATCGAGTGTTCACACTAAACCAATAAAGTAGGAGCTGAATTCATTTGAATTTTTTTCCACTTAGATCCCATTTGATAAATATCTTACAACATGATACCTACTTGTTCAATATTATACTTTCAATGTTATTCAGAAAGAAGTAATTTATCGACACTTTTTTTGTTTGAATAGAGCTGGAGAACAAATACCCTAAAATTGCAGGCATAGTAAAAATCAGGTTATATTTTAATTATCAAGGACTCCTAAACACATGAGTTTTTTACAAATAAAAATATGAATTTACAATGAAAAAACTCATATTCGTTATGACCTACCTCATCTGGAGTTTCAAACTTATTTATATTGAGTTATTGCAGGATCTCAATGCCCTTTGGTTGTCCAAATAACTATTTTCTTTTTATAGAAACCTTCTTAAAACTATTTTTTTCTAAAAATATATAAAAATAATAACTTGTGGCTGTCACATTCATTTTTTATTTAATGTTCTCCATAAACTAAACCAAGAGATTTTATGAGCAGAACTCATGTGCTATTTTTCTTTGTGATATATGTGGCTATTAACATTAGTAACAAAAAAGAAGAACCTAACCCTAGTTTATACTCCTTGACCCTTGTATTCGAAAATAAGTGTTACTTTAATAAGAAAAAAATTGTCAAAAAATAAGTGTCTCCTTAAAGTTGAAGATAAAAATAGTAATTATTTT